GGTCTCTCTTGGTTGGTAATCATGTTTAAAGGAAACACTCCTCACATTGGATGCAATGTTTGTTTTCTATACAAATCATTTCAGTGACGTCACCCAAACAAGTGCTTGTGAATTAGTGAGGAAATAGATTTATAAAAAAACTGGGTGGCTGAGTCGGTTAAGTGTCTGACTTCGGCTCGGGTCACGATCCCACAGTTCATGAGTTCAAGCCCCGCTGTCAAGTGTGCTGACAGCTCAGAGCCTGAAGCCTGCTTCACATTCTGTGTCTCCCTCTCTCTGTGCCCCTCCCCTGCTCATTCTCTGTCTCTCTCTCTCAAAAATAAATAAACATTAAAAAAAAAAAAAAAGCCAACTGGTATCTCTCTGACAGACCAGAATTAAGAAACTAAAGACCGAGGGGAAAAAACAGTGGCTCCAGTTTTAACACTGTTCCTTATCTCCATTTGTTTGTAACCTTAGATAAAGATTACCTCCTTAATGCTTACAGAAAATCCGTGTCATAAAGATGCTGTGAGAAATAATGGTTGGTGACCACAATGCAAATATAAAAAGCCCAAAAGATCATGAAGCATCCCTTCTGAGTGAAGGAGACGAGAAAGAGGGGCACTGCTGAAGCACCACGTATAAGAATACAGGGGCAACTGTTTCTTCACAACAATTTTTGGCATGATAAGACAAGCTATGTTTTTAAAAAAATTTTTTAAAGTTTATTTTGAGAGAGAGTGCAAGCAAAGAGCAGAGAGAGAGGGAGAGAGAGAGAATCCTAAGCAAGCAACGCACTGTCAACATGGAGCCCAACGTGGGGCTCGAACCCACGAACCGTGAGACCAAAATCAAGAGTCAGGAGTATAACTGACTGAGCCATCCAGGTGCCCCAAGACAAGCTATATTTACTCACATCGTACAAATAAAGAAAAGTTCCAATGAAGAATAGTAAAAGAAAATGCTACTTTGTACCTGAGCTTAAGTGTGAAAAACAGACATTCCAAGTAATGAAACAGATACCACAGAATACAAACAGATGCAAGTACTTCCTGTATGAAGCCAAAACACACACAGTCGTGACATACACCTGTACATTATTGACTATGCTCTGTTTTGGCAGTACCAGTACGTAATGCATAAAATGCAAAGTCCAATAGGGAACAGAATATGCCTATACAGAATCAAATTTTATCATTCCAGAGAAAACTTCTTCGAAAATACCTAGGACATACTCTAATTTTAGGTCGTGTTCTTATTTTTTAAATAACATTCATAAAATTAAAATTCATATTTTTTAACATTCATAAAATAATTGTTACTATTTTTTCTAAATTATCTGAAATACCAAAATCAATTACATTTATCTATTCCTATCCATTTTGTGGAATCAACCATGGCTGAGTTTCTCGGAGATAAAAATACCAACAAGTGAAAATAACAAACATGATTGTTTTTATTTACAAAACACACAAAAACATACAAAAGCAAAACTCCTACTCAGAAGAAATAGTACTACTTATTTATAAATTGCTAACAGCATACCTAGAAAGATTACCATTAAATTAAGATCTCACATGCAGAGACTTATTTGTTATCCACAAAGATATTTTTTATATTCTCTACAAAGCCAAGTTAGCTAGCAAATATAAAAATAATGTTTCAGTACTTTATTCACCCATCATTTTTAAACATTAATTACAACAAGAACTGATAAAAACAAAACTACAGAAAACTCGATTTTGAGAAGTCAAGGCCAATACATATTAAGTCAAGTTTATCTGAAATCAGAGACAGTACAAAAATGATATAAGAAGCAAGGGAATAAATACCAGGACCTGATCTGAATTATCAAGAGGCTCTCCTGGAGAGCATTAAACTTGACCTTAAAGAAGAAACTGGGCATCATAAAACAAATCCCATAGGACAAACATAACAAAGATACAGAGGCAATGAGACAACAAACATCATGTTAAGGAAAGCAAGGAGTTAAAAAAAAAAAAAAAAGGCCTATCGAAATTAAAAGCAAGTATCTTTCTTTTAAGTAATTTCTATGCCCAATGTGGGGCTCAAACTCACAAGCCTGAGATCAAGAGTCAAATCAAGAGTCACATGCTCTACCAACTGAGCCAGCCAAGCACCCCAAAGCCAGTATCTTTTGACCCAGCAATTGTCTCTTGAACCAGCAACTGCTCTCTTAGAACCTTGCACATACACGTATGAGACTATCCACTGCAGCACTGTCTCCAACCGCAAAAGAAATGGTCTATATAACCACTGGTAGGGGACTGTATATAAATTATGATACGACCATAAAGTAGAACACTATGTGGCCATAAAATGAACAGAGAAAGAAAGTTATTGATACTAATATGAATCACTTCAAAGTAGGAAAAAAATTTTGTTACCACTCGTTAAAAATTATACACACACACCCCACACTTGTATATACACAGAGTATCACCAAAAGGATACAAAAAAATCTAGTAACTATGAATGCTTCCAGAAAACAAAATGAATGGCTGGTAAACAGAGTAAAAGAAAAAACTTTCATTGTATATTCCTTTTTTCATCTTTGGAAATTTGGAGCCATTTGTATTTTATCTATTTAAAAAACATAAACTTAAAGGTACTTTTATGAAAAGGAAAAGGACAGGAAAAGCAGGACATACTAGGTAGCAGTAAGAAGTGTGGTAAGTAGATATGCATGTTGAGAAGGTCAAACTTTGGCAATTGTTTACCTGCTGGCTTTTGGTCTGAGTAGGGAAAAAGAAAGAATAGCTTTGGTGGTTTCTATACCCAAAGGTGCTGATTACATTTACGGTGTATTTTTTTCTGCATTTATTTAATGAATGAAAGCTGTTCCTACTTCCAGATGCATGTTTTTATTTCATTCCAAGGGATCAAATTCCCGAGACACTGTCATAAGTTTTAATCAGGAAAATGGGCTTCCTAACATTTGTTTTTAATGTTTTATTATTTATTTTTGAGCGAGCACACACAAGTGACGGAGGGGCAGGGGAAGAGGGGGACAGAGGATCTGAAACAGGCTCTGTGCTGACAGCAGAGAACCTGATGCAGGGCTCAAACTCAGGAACCATGAGATCATGACCTGAGCCGAAGTCAGACACCTAACAGACTGAGCCACCCAGGCGCCCCACTTCATAACATTTTTAAAACATTTATTTGGGGACCATAAATATAACAAAAACATGGTTCAAGACTCCCTACACTTCTACATAGGCACACTATAGGAACTTTACCCTGCATACCTAAAAGGAGTAACAGCTTTAAGAAGAAAGCCCCACACCTCCCTCACACCTGGGTGTTGTACAGTAACCTTACACTTAAGCTTTATCCTGGATATAATCTCAAGATCTAGATCTAACCAAGAGAAAATTATTCTTTGATTAAAATACAATGGGGAACAATCTCAATTACTGCAGAACTAAATGAAAGCCCTGCGAACAACACACAGTCATTCTACTCTCATCAGTCAGTAAGGAAATCTAAGAGTTCATGTGTATTAGGAGTCACTCCATTTCTCAACTTTTTTTTTTTTTTAAGAAAATAATCCAATTTATTCTCTAGGGAATGGGGCCACCCCTCTCAGATCTAGGGTGCCGTCCATCCTTAAATAAACAGAAACTTGGTTACCTTTTCCAACAGTCCTTTCCTTTCATCGGTAAGGGAACAGGATGTGCAAAATTAAGCAGCTAAAAATAAAATCATGCTCACAGGCTACAGAAACTTTATACAAAGGGCAGAGATGTGGGCAGACTTAGAAGAAAAGTACAATTCTATTGAATACAAGTTTCATACTGTTTCTAAACTGATTAAGAATAAAGGACCTGAGGGGCACCTGGGTGGCTCAGTCGGTTAAGCATCCAACCCTTGATTTTGGCCCCTCCCCTACTCGTGCTCTTTTTCTCTCCCAAAATAAATAAATAAGTTTAAAAAAAAAAAAAAAGAAAGAAAGAAAAATAAAGGACCTGAGTCACCATGGGGACCAAGCAGAATAGTATAAAGTTAGTTGGTGAGCTTTATTCAGGCATGTAGACAAATTACTGCTCACACATCTATCATTTACCAACTCCACAAAGACCTGGGTTCTAATTCTGGTCCTACACTTACTAGATGCTTAAGACTGAACAAGTTTACCTCCTCTCAGTTTTATCTTTTTTAAAATGGGGCTAACCCTTCCTACCTTGACAAATTTTATTGTTGGGTTTTTTAATTAAAGTCAGACATAAAAGACGTAAAGTACTGGGCACATAGCATTCAATAAATAGAAACTATTTTTATATAGTTTATAAAACATATAAGCTATATAAAAACATATAAAAATATGTATGTATTTATAAATATATAGTTTACAAAACACAAAGACTAAGTCCCTACCAAGAGTCTAACTAGGAGACTGTGTTAGAAATGTTAATATTAAGTCCAAACTTGGTTAGTGGTAAATGAAACCGTCATTTCCACCTTTCCTACTTAGAGTCAAGAAACTTTAAAATCCTGGGGCACCTGGGTGGCTCAGTCGGTTGAGCATCTGACTTCAGCTCAGGTCATGATCTCGCAGTTTGTGAGACCCACATTGGTCTCACTTCTATTAGTGTGGAGCCTGCTTCGGATCCTCTGTCCCCCGTCCCTCTCCCCCTCCCCCACTTATGCTCTCTTAAAAAATAAACATTAAAGATTTTTTAAAATTAAAAAAAAACAAAAGAAACTTTAAAATCCTTACAAAATTTATTTCCTCTGGAAGGGGATTTAAGTGGCATGATATATAAAAGAAATTTCCTTCAAAACAAAGACCGGGGGAACAACAGTCCATCACCTCAGATCCTCAAGGCTAGACTTTTCAAGTTAAGGTAACAAATGACAGTTCTGTTTATTACCTTTTAAACATTTCTTTATATTACTAATATATCTAAACTACTATTAGGCAATAGAGCAAGAAAAATAGCTAACTTTTACTAAAGCAGGCTGTTGTGTTTTTTGTTTGTTTGTTTTTAAAGGAGAGGAATATACATTAGATGCCCACATCCTGACTAGCAAGAGCACGGACACGCTTCAGGAGGATAAAATCAGCAGAAGGTAGCAAAGACTGTTGTCAAACACCTGCAGTGCCTCAAATCTGCCACTACCTGAATCCCTACAGAGATGACTAACCAAGGAGAAGAGGCAGATTCCTCTGACAGCAAGGCTGTTTCCCTTCTCAAGTGAGGCCAGAGACAGCAAGGAAAACACAGTGACTCCACAGGCACATTAGGATGTGGCCCAGTTACCTTCCGAAAACTGAATCCCGATGGACTAGCCTTGACTAGTCTTCTAACACCTTTAGAACCCAGCCCAAACAGTGAAATGTAAGACACATATTTTTGCAGTTGCATTTGAATTTTTTTTTAGTTGAAATAACAAGATGGTGTATATGGTAATTATTCTTCATAAAAGTTTGAAAGTATCTAATATCTAAAAGCTATAATGAACTTATCAAACTCAACACCCAAAAAACAAATAACGTAGTTAAGAAACGTAAAGAAGATACGAATGCTTTTCCAAAGAAGACATCCAGATGACTAACAGACACATGAAAAGATGCTCAACATCACTCATCATCAGGGAAATATAAATCAAAACCACAATAAGATACCACCTCACACCTGTCAGAATGGCTAAAATTAGCACAAGAAACAAAAGCTACTAGCAAGGATGCAGAGAAAGGGGAACAGTCTTACACTGTTAGTGGGAATGCAAACTGGTGCAGCCATTCTAGAAAACAGTATGAAGGCTCCTCAACAAACTAAAAACAGAACCCTACAACCTAGCAATCGCACTACTAGGCATTTATCCACAGGATACAGATGTGCTTTTTCGAAGGGACACATGAACCACCATGTTTATAGCAGCACTATCAACAATAGCCGAAGTATGGAAAGAGCCTAAATGTCCATCGATAGATGAATGGATAAAGAAGATGTGGTGTATATATATATATATACACACACATACATACAATGGAGTATTACTTGGCAATGAAAAAGAATGAAATCTTGCCATTTGCAAGTACGTGGATGGAACTGGAGGGTATTAGGCTAAGTGAAATTACTCAGAGACAGACAAAAATCATATGACTTTACTCATATGAGGACTTTAAGAGACAAAACAGATGAACATAAGAGAAGGGAAACAAAAATAATATAAAAACAGGGAGGAGGGCAAAACAGAAGAGACTCATAAATATGGAGAACACACTGAGAGTTACTGGAGGGGTTGTGGGAAGGGGGAGGGGCTAAATGGGTAAGGGGCACTGAGGAATCTATTCCTGAAATCATTGTTGCACTATATGCTAATTTGGATGTAAATTTTAAAAAAATAAAAAAATTAAATAAATAACATTAAAAAAAAGAAACTAAAAATAGAACTTCCTTGTGATTCAGTAATTGCATTATTAGGTATTTACTCAAAGGATACAAAAACACAGATTCAAAGGGGTACATGCACCCCAATGTTTACACAGCATTATCAATAATAGTCAAATTATGGAGAGAGCCCAAATGTCCACTGACTGATGAATGGATAAAGAAGATGTGCTATGGGGTGTCTGGGTGGCTCAGTTAGTTAAGGGTCCAACTTCAGCTCAGGTCATGATCTCACGGTTACTAAAGCTGAGCCCCGCATCAGGCTCTGTGCTGTCAGCTTGGAGCCTGGAGCCTGCTTCGGATTCTGTGTCTCCCTCTCTCTGCCCGTCCCCTACTTGAGCACTCTCGCTCTCTCTTTCTCTCTCTCTCTCAAAAACAAATAAACATTTAAAAAATTTTCTTAAAAGAAGATGTGGTATATATATATTATATTATAATATATATATTATATATATATATACACACACACACAATGTATTATATGTATACAATATATACAATGGATTCAGCCACCAAAAAGAATGAAATCTTACCATTTGCAATGATGTGGATGAAGAATGTGTTATGCTAAGTGAAATAAATTAATCAGAGAAAGACAAATACCATATGATTTCACTCATATTTGGAATTTAAGAAACAAAGCAGATGAACATATGGGAGGGAGGCAGTAAGAGAAGAGAGGGAAACAAACCACAAAGGACTCTTAATGATAGCGAACAAACTATGGGTTGATGGAGGAGGGTGGGAGACAGGCTAGATGGGTGATGGGTACTAAGGAGGGCACCTGCTGTGAGGAATACTGAGTCCTGTATGTAAGTGATGAATCACTGACTTCTACTCCAAAGCCAATACTTCACTGTAAGTTGGTTAACAAAAATTTAAATTAAAAAAAAATTTTTTTTGAAAGAATCAAGGAAATTTTGTCCAGTATGTTTTCCTAGAGCACCTAAGTTATTTATAAGGGCTTTGTTTTCAGAACAAAATATCGTACTCCCTGTGTTTGTGTGTGTGTGTGTGTGTGTGTGTGAAAAAGAGTGCATGAGATGGGGCGCCTGGGTGGCGCAGTCGGTTAAGCGTCCGACTTCAGCCAGGTCACGATCTCGCGGTCCGTGAGTTCGAGCCCCGCGTCAGGCTCTGGGCTGATGGCTCAGAGCCTGGAGCCTGTTTCCGATTCTGTGTCTCCCTCTCTCTCCGTCCCTCCCCCGCTCATGCTCTGTCTCTCTCTGTCCCAAAAATAAATAAAAAACATTGAAAAAAAATTTAAAAAAGAAAAAGAGTGCATGAGAACATGTGTGCACCAGCAGGAGAGGGGCAGAGAGAGAGAGGGAGAAAGAGAATCCCAAGCAGGCTCTGTGGTGTCAATGTCATGTTAGTGCAGAGCCCGACCCAGGGCTTGATCTCGTGAACCGTGAGATCATGACTTGAGCCAAAACCAAGAGTCAGACACTTTAACGGAATTAGCCACCCAGGCACTGCCCCTACCCTTTGTTAAAGTCATTTTAATGTCTATATATTATTTAAACATACACATTTGTCTAGTCAAATGATCCAACTCTTGTTCTTCTCATTTTAATAACAAAACAAAATAAAGCCAGTCTTTATTATTTAGAATACCACCGCTTCATAGGAAATTGTTCCAGGAATAGTATGAAGACTAATATTGATTTTTAAAATATGCTTCATTAAGTAATACTTACCTAAAATTTGGCATGATCTTCCAAACAACATAAAATAAGGACTCTGGGCTAAATGCAGTCTGGCTACCTTGCCATAAAGCACAGAGTGTCTTTCTAAACTCTTCGACCAAAGACCTGGAAAAGAAGAAAGTGAGAGGCTACTATTTCAATGCATAATGTCCAACTGGCTACAACTCATAATAAAAGTGAAAACATATATGCTTAACTTGGATGTAAATTTAAAAAAATAAATATATTTTAAAAAATGAAAACATAAAAAGGGTTTGGTTTCTTCTAACCTAATTCTGACAGTTAAGTAAGAGCATCTCAAAAACCCACATAAAGAGCAGCAATTATAGACAAAACTAGGTTTTTTTAACCCCACAACGAACATTGAGTGTGCCAGAGTAATGGCATACTTGTACAATAAAGCAATAGAGAAGTTACAAATTACTTCAAAATGTCCATTTTTAGAAAACTTTTTAAGTAACAGAATCTCTTTCTCCATTTCCTGTAGTTTTCCTTCTTACCACTTACAAGGAGCACTTCCCAGACCTCAGTGTGTGAGAATCGGCTCATTTCTGTCTGAGACCATTCATCTGACCACAAAGCTTCAACACTCAGCTCTACACCATGACTCCCAAATCCAAATCTAAAAGCCAGATTCTCTCATGACCACATTTCAGTCAGGTTTTTCCAGTTTCCAAGGGGAATTTTCTTCTGAATGTCCTTTGTCACTTCAAACCCAATGTACACTAAAGCTGCTCTCTATACTCTCCCTACTACCGCCCAATAACCATTGTCTTCTCTCATAGGAACAGAACTTCCATTTTTTGCTTGGTGTAAGAACTCCTGGAATAAAAAACTTTGAGTGTGTTCAACTTCTGAGAAATTTCCTTAAAGAGAAAGAGTAGTCGTCATTAATCCCTTCCTTCTTCCTTCTAGCTGGAAGGACAAAATGGTGGCGGTCCAGCACCACTCTGAACAATGTGGATGACAGCCCTACCCTAGGGTTGGTGGAACAGAAAGCTAGAAGGAGCATGATGATGGTGTCAAACAGCCCTAGAGGGATAATCTCTAACTTTTACACGAGAAAATAAATAACGGTTGTTTAAGTCACTATTAATTTTGTTTTCCTATGCAGGTAGCTAGAATGAAACACTTCCAATAACCAGTTAAACTGAAACATCACCAAACAACTTCAATACCTGTGTCTGTCAATACACCTACCATCCTCACAGATACCTGACTGGTTTCTCAGAGAATCTCACTAATAGCTCAACCTTTGTCATCCAGTAGTGTGCTCACAAATCATATTTTTTGCTTCCTAGTACCTGAACCTTCTTCCTGTATTTGAGGAATTCCCCACGTTAAGAGTCTGGGTAAGAGTCAGAGCCTGCTTCCCACTATGGAAGTTGGAAAGCCCAGATACTTGCTTTCTCAAACCACCTTGCAGCCAGCACTCAGGTACATGGCCTGGGTCCTGCCTATTTGAAGCAGAAGTTAGTGAGGCGAAGAAGCTGGGGCAGTGGCAAATTCCTTCTGATGACAAAGAACATCACCTGGAGTACAGAGGCAGCAATAATAGCAGAAACCGCAGCATTCACCCAGCACTCAACTCCAGCAGTGCTGGCAACAGGAACTCTGGTGTCACAATGGGAAGTGTGTTAGAGGACAGTAATATCCTTATGGGATAGTTCCATGGGGTGATTGTGGCTATGGTTCTGGATGTCTAGATGCCAGACCTGATTTTCCACCCATCCAGTAATAGCTTACCAACAGACTTTTAATAAATTCTTGTTCTGCCTAAGATGGCCAGAGATAATTTCTGCAATTTATAACTAAACCCTAAATGACACTAATGCATCAAGTACTACTCATACATCCCTTAATTTTTCTAAAAATGTATTTTTTCCTCCTTATTTCACTGCTATCCCCTCCAACCCAAATACTATAAAGTGTGAAGTCTCCTCGAATGCAGGCATTTTTCCAGTTCATTCTATATGCTGTTAGCAAAGTAAGCTCTTAAGACA